TGGCGTTGCTGTGTGGTTGCTGTTACTATCTGTCCATTTCCAGAACCTTATTCGGCAGCTCTACCCAAGACAAAGCCCAACGGCGAGAAGAAGTGGGAGTAGAAGAAAGAATACTAGGAAGTAAGCCCCCATTTCACATAAGAATTTTCCTCGCTTAAATCCCTTCTTTCCTTTTTGCCTTTTGTGCGTGAGGATCAAGCACAGGTGGTATCACTGAGACATGTAGTAAGCACCACCTTCGGTTGGTGAGAATGTGTCCGATCTCCGCACGAGACCTACCATTGGGTGACTCCCATGTCCATCGCCGGTGTTCTTTTTCCATGAAGATGGAGTTGCCACAAAATGTCGTGCGGCGAATAAGAGCCCAACAAGACGATTATCGTTCTCTTTCTGGAGTGCTAGTTCACATCTCTCAGTCCTGTCTCCTTTCTTTGGCATCCCAAATTTCGCGATGAAGCCACCTACGACAAAATTGTAGAGATTTTCTTTGCAGATAACCTCCTCCAAATCCTATCCTCATACAAAGCAGTTCCGAATCATTAGCTACTAGTGTTAATAGCAGTTAATGATAGTATTAGTCTCCTGATGCAGAGGATGGAGTCGAAGGAGGCGAGATAAGTCTAAGGAAGTACCACCGGGGCCTGCTCGACTACCATATTTCCGCTGACAATATAGCTAAGCAAAGACGGGACTCGCACATTATCCCAATAGAAATAAAATTAATCTCTTCTGCTCATCAACACCCTTGTCAGACTACGTTATCCCACTAGATATATCCACTAGATTCTATCTGCTGAGGTACGTCCAATTTCCGCGTTTTGACTTTTCTCAAGCCAGAGGACTTACCTATACGAGATAGTTACGGCTCAATTACGTCATACCTTCAAAAGATAAAGATACCTGACCAGTGAAGAACAATCCTACAAAAGAAGGGCGACGGAGGAAATCTTAATACCGCTTGTATGCTGTTGAGCCTGCTTTACAAGGTCTTCACGAAGATTATTCTCACAGCACATCAAAGACATTATGTGAAGCCTAGTCTGTAGAACAAGGTGAATTTCGCAAGGATCTAGCTGCTCGGAAGAAAGCTCTTGCAGAAAGCCCTTCAACTGCAGAAACTTCTTTTTACGTATGTCTTGGGCGTGCAATGAATATGGAGAACGATCTGAAGAAGACTAAAAACGAGGCCAAGAGTACATTGGATCGGGTAGACCAGATGACGGGTCGTTCATCTAGCGCTCTGTTACGCGACAGAGACGTGTCTGACACTGTGGCTTCGTCGAAGGCTCTCGAACCATTTACGGAGCGCTGACATCGTCATTGAATACAACCGACGCACTTGGTATCCCGTTGGACTTCACAGCTCAGATACGAGATCAATGTCATATCAGCGGAATATGTCTCTAAATGAACACTAAGAACTTGGAATGGATCTTCCG